ATCAAATCAGAGGTGGTTTTGTGATGAATGTGATAGTTTGTCCGGACAAATGCCTGTTTGCTGTCGATGTGAAATGGCCGTGGCGAATAATTGTGCTCGAACACCTGAGGAGTGGAGGAGAATGTCTATTTCTTTCTTCTGTTTTGTGCCTCGTCTTCACAAAACTCAGTTTACTTCAGCTATTTGTTTTTGTTTCAATGCCAAATGAAAATGACTTGACAAATGATTATATCTCACGGAGGGGTCTGTTTTTAAAGCCCATATTGCCATAAAATGTGCCTCTCCACTGGGAAGATGAGGAACAGTGTGCAGCCTATTTCTGTCTCCCATTGACCCCCCCCCCCCCCCCCCCCACACACACACACACACACACACACACACAAAGGAAATAACGCCCCGCTTATCGATTGAGCCACTCATTTCCCACGTATTAAAGTTGTTTGCCGTCTGAGGGGCACAGTTTGTTTTTGCACTAGTCAACCATTTAAAAGCTGCTACTAGCCCTTCATTACATTTCCAATAGTTCTGCAGGCTTCACATCAGCGGCCTATGCTGTTTTAATATGCCAAGCAAAACAAAAGGCAAAGTCTCCAATCAGCGGGGGTAAGCCTGCCCCATGGGACGCAGTTTCTCCGGGTCATTTAACGCTGGAGAGATTAGTGAGACAATTAGCGTTGGCCCAAATAAGACAGTAGGCCACTTTTTGGAGACGCGTGGTTTTAGTGGTGGTGGATGGGCGATTTGGAAGATGCTCTAGACCGGCAGAGGGCTAATATAGCTCTGCAATTAGTCAAATGTGCTCCAAAGAGCACAGGCCTTGTTCTACTGAACGTGCCCTCGGTGCCAAGGATGCCCTGCTTCTCGCAGCACTTCATTACAGGAAATCATAGACGAGATGCCGCGAGTCGGCACTTTTAAACAGCCTAATTTGTCTCTGAGCTGCCGTTGATGAGACGTCCTTATTAGCGCGAGGAGATGCTGCCGAAAGTAAAGAAATTTGTTCTGCAAATTAGGGGGGGGCGGGCGCAGGTTCGGCACAACACATGCAAAGCTGTTCGATGGAATTCACGGCGTGCGCCACCCGCAAATAGCTGACAAATACTCCCCGATGAATGGCCTATAATCACCAGTCAAAAACAGTGACAAGAGTCACTGAGCAGCCTTTAATTAGGCCCTCTCTTTGAAAGCTCAAAGCTGCAGATGCTCGGCTCAGGCCACACTCATTATCGCCTGTCGTCTCCTGATAATAAGACAGTCGTCACGTGTTTGGCCAAAGCAAGCTCGGAGAATTCTGTAGCTTGAGGGATTTAGTATTGAACCCTCGAAAAGGGGGTCGACAGCGAGAAACGCTTGATGAATGAGGCTCTCGGCCCCCCGAGCTGTCCACATCCAAAGGAGTTTGTGCACTCGTTAAGGGCACAGAGAGGAGGCTTCAGTATCAGATACAATCTGTGGTAGTTTTAAAGTAGAGATCTGAGAAGGATTATTACTAAACCATGTGATTTATGCCGGATCCAGGTGTGATTAAACAAGGACAAAGAATAGATTACTCTCTTGAATTCAGCCTCAAGGAGACGGCTCCCTGGAGCTGTCTTTCATTTCGTCCTATTGCAACCTCAGGTGACTAAACAGTGGCCCCGAACGGAGATCCAAAACAGGCCAGAGACTCAAAAGAAAGAAAGGAAGCGTAATAAGAAACAGAGCCTCTGACAGTTCGGGGGGTCCTCCGTGACTGTAGCCGTCTCCAGCACCGCCTGCCTGGCAGGAGCCGCGAATCCTTCAATTTTGCTTTTTGTCACTGACAGTGTTCCCTAGAGGATGCTCCGTACTGACAGCCAAAATAAACTCCTGGACTCGTGTGTGATTTGATCCAAGACGGTGGGACGCCCAAAAAAAAAAAGTGCCAGCGGTCTCACTTACACTTTGAGAACACTACCTCTTCCTAAAGAGCTGACAAAACCTTTTGTCAGCTCTGGGAGAATACAGTAACTAAGCGCTGCAAACCCATTACCCCCTCAGATGTGGGAGGTAAAAAAGAAACACACACACACACACACACACATATAGATAACCCTCCTGTAATTTATTCTGCGGGAGCCTTTTCTTGTGTTCTTGACAGTAAGCCTAACTCGGAGAGAGGCAGAATTAATTATGGCTCCTCGGTCTATCTTAATTAAATCATTTCACATCATAGATTTCGCACAACAGAGGCAAAATATCTACCTCATCTTTTCAGGCAAGGGCGGGGGCAACGGGCTGAGATATCAAAAGGTTGACTGTAACGTTGCCTCTCCAGGAGTGCGATTTCACAGAAGGGTTGTCATGTCCGGCTTCTAACATGAAGCGGCTTGTTAGCCCACCGGTGTGGAGAGGGGGGGCGGCCTTGACTTTATCAAGCGAAAAGTTTGTTGCCCTTTTTAAAGTACACAGAGCCTTCAAATTGCGCAGCTGAACTCTGCACCTCGGTCGGGGCCGCCTGTCTCGTGTCTGTGGACTCAGCAGATACGTGAGCGCCTGAAGGGCTCGGTAAGTAGTGTGAAAGGCAAAGGAGTCAACCCCACCAACGTCTAAACATCCGTCTTTGACAGCATTCCCACTCAGGACTCCCCTCACTTTACCACAGCTTACCCGGTATTTATCTGCCAAGACGGGTTGGAAGCAGTAGTCCAAAGAGAGAGAAAAACAAGAAATATAAGCCAGAAAGGAGGGACAGCAGTTCTTTGATGCGGACCAGCTGGCACCCTGAGTTATCTGCCGGGTCACTTATAGGACCCATTAGTCTGCATCAGACCACTCTGTTTTACAGAAGCCACATGGAGGTGTGATCAGGAGTAATGCAATCTGCGTGTCAGCTTCAGTTGGGCTTTTTAAAACGTCCTCTTGTTGCCAGATAAGCATTAATAAAGCCAGCGATGAATTGCGGGCTAATCCATTTTCAAGGTGCCTTCAGTCTATATTTCACTCATGAATATGCTGTACTGTACCATATTGATGGCAACTGTTCATTTTGCCTAGTTGGTCGCACATTATAGTCATCTTAACTTTGTTCGAGTGACTTCCTTCTTCCTCATGGCAGAGCAAGAGATACAAAAAAACTAGTGCTGGGCAACGATTAAAATATTTAATCGTGATTAATCGCATGGATTTTTTGAGATTAATCGTAATTAATCACATTGTTATGGCAAAGTTCAATAATGAATTCAAAAGTAGTGTATTGCGCACTTGTATTTTAAAAGTACCGCTGTATGAACAAAAGTGCAATAACATTTGGTTCATGAGATGCAGGTAGCATGTTTTATACTTAATGTGAATATAATTCATACTTTGTTAGCATCTTATTCTGAAAACCGGATGTTTGTCTGAAGAAACCGGATGTTGTCTCACGTTAATGTTTCCGCTAACTTTCAAAGTCCTTCGCTCGCTCCGATCTGTGCCGTTTAAATGCGTTTACCGTGAATTTCAGCATATAGGTGCACTAACATGTAAGTGTCTGCTGAGTTGACCACGGAGATCTGACTGTCCACTGACTTTACCGCAGCGATGTCCAGTAGTCTCCAGGGAGAGCAACAGCTGGTGCAGCTTCTCTCTTTATTTCTGCCCCCCTCGACCAGAAACGGAAGTTGCCTTTTCTCTACGGCAACCCTGAAGGGACATCATATCTCCAATACAAAATGATAAACATGAGACAGTCTGTTACAATAATAATAAATTAAAATGTTTGTGTTTTTTTGTTGTTTTATTATTATTATTTTTTTCCCATCTCAAAAGGCTCAAGGACATACACACACACGTTCACACACACGCACACACACACACACACACACACACACACAAACACACACACACATACATACACAACTGACTATAGGATGTTTGCTGGTTTTTGTCCCACTGTTCTTGTCATCCTCTTGTTATGTATATGTAT